CTTTTCTCCTTGTGAGCATTTCTGAACAGAGTCTGCATCATCGTCCATCATTAATCAGTTTCACTTGGGGACCACATTAGCCCAAGCACTCTAGAGACACTTATATGTTGAATTTTTCACAAATGATTATGGTAATTTGATAGATATAGATAACGCATGAAGGCACTTTTGGATGGGCTGTGCCTGTCTCAGTTATTTATCAATTTCTTTATAATGGTAGGGGAGGGAGGTTGGTAGATGAATTTACACATGATTGTTCTGTTAAGCATGTTGGGTTTTTCATAATTACTTCTGCCACCACTATTTTGCTTAGTAAGCAACTTTACTTATTATCAAATACATCTGGATGACAGTATTTATTATTCCTTTCCTTCTTTGCTAATACTTTGTATTATGAAATTCTCAACTAGATTATCTTATAAAGTACCAGGTGTTGGTTTTCTTATTCCCAAGTTTGATGTTAGAAATTTAATCTACCACCTATATCCTATGTTAACGGGTACTTCTATCATGAAGCCATACACGTACCATACACACATGTGACACATCCGCGTACCCGAACTTCATGGGCACTCCTTGGATATATGCATGCATTTATGCAGACATGTACTCAATTGTATAATATATGTTATACTTTAAAAAGTCATACAAATTAAAACAGTCATACACTTCATGGACATTTATCTACACTGTGTCCATTTCTTAAAACTCGTTAGACATGGTGGGGCTTGTCTCAGCCCGTATCCAAGTTAAAAACTATGATTTAAAAGGCTGATCTGAGTGTCTATTAAAAAAAGGAGCAATTTTCAATTTATAGTAATCAACATAATAAAAGAAACTTAAAAATATGATAAGAATTTAAGTCCAAATAGCACATGAATTGAAAAATAACAAGGATCTCATGTAAGTTATTAATTTCAATATGTACATGTAGCCATGTCCCCATACCCTACATTTCATAGATTTGCTGTGTCCTGTACCTGCGCACTGTATTGTACCCATGCTTGTTTCCATGCAACGTAGCTTATATCTATTGGATTCCTTTTTTTTTTTGGTCTTTCGTTCTTTGTTACTTAGTATGATCTTTCTGTATTGTTTAACCATCTGTATTTTATTTTTCTTATGTATTGTTTTCAATCTGTAGGTTCTTGCTGATAAACTTCCAGAGCTGCTAGACTTTTCCAAGGATCTTGTCAACCTTGAAGCTGCTTCAAAGGTATGGTTTGCTCTTTGCTGTTTCTTCAGTTTTATATATTCGTCAGTGTTCATTATTTGAACAAAATTTATGTGCAGATAATGTTAAAGACTTTAGCAGAAGAAATGCAAGCAATAAGCAAAGGTCTTGAGAAAGTTGAACAGGAATTATCGGCTTCCGAAAATGATGGTGCTATATCTGACACTTTTAGGAAGGTATATTTGCACAATCTGTTGCCTATGGATAGGATTCTTTTTTAATTTTTTTTTAAAGAAAGGTGTATCAGGGCTTTGTTTTACTCTACTGCATGCTAACATCTTATCGCTAGCAATTGCCGCAATGCTGTGTTAAATTTGTTTTTTTTTCTTTTGGTGGAGAACAATGACCGTGCTACATAGGACTGATGAGTACTACGTATTGGTCTAACTGACATGGTTGGTAACAAAAAATGACAAGTGGCTGCTATTTAACAGGTTTGTTGTGCTTAAGAGGTGAAGGTACGACTATCATATAGCCTGCCAACTGATGTGGGATAACGGCTTCGTTTTTTGTTGCATCACTTGGATGTAATAATTTGTTGGAGTATTTCCACTATTTGCGGTGATAAAAAACTACTTAAAAAAATTTAAGCTGGTGTGTGCTATAATCTGCATATCAAGCTAATATAATGCTTAACGCTTTTAACCTTTGGACCACATGAAAAGGCCTCCGTCAGCAAACTTATTAAATACTGAAAAGTTATGGCTGGTTTATGTTCTGAGTTTTATCATGTAGTAGATGATCAGTGACTTCTTTATTATCGTTCAAGATTGTGATGTGAATAAAACCATCTAGGATCTCCAGTTTGCCACACTAACTGGTATGAATATGTCAGACTTTGAAGGAATTTTTGGTTGGTGCTGAAGCTGAAGTGAGAGCCTTAACGTCACTCTATTCCCATGTGGTACGTAATGGTGTTATCGACATATTAACGTGTGCAAGTTTATTAACTCATGGAAATTTTCAAATACCAAGTGTCTAAGAAAGGTATCTTGCAGGGGAGGAATGCAGATGCGTTGGCCCTTTATTTTGGGGAAGATCCAGCTCGGTGTCCGTTTGAGCAAGGTAAATCTGCCTGAATTTATGAGTAATGCCTAAATAATTTTGAGCTCTAGAGATTCTTTTTTGGTGTTCTTTCCTTTGTTTTTGTATTCAGTATATCGTTTAGTAGGATTAGCCTTTACATCTATTTTTATTATACTTCACCTTAATTCTGTTATATCTATGGGAAACTGATAATGCACTTCCTTCAGTAGTCGTCATCTTTTCAGCATTCTCTTTGACTTATTAGAAAATAGGCTCATGCTCTGGTTCCAAAGACCTCTCTGTATAAGGAAACAGCTTTGATGAGGATGGCGGTGATGACATTTTTCGTTTCCTTTTTACCATGATCAAAATCAGCTCTGGATCTAATCTAGAGCTTCTCACAAAAAGATTACAAAATTTTCTTAATATTTGCAAAAAGACTAAAGAGTACTTGAGTTGTTCTAGTTGTCCACTCTGTTTTGCAATTTGATTACTCCTATTTCGTATTCTTTTCCAGTGATGTCTACGCTTCTCAACTTTGTGAAAATGTTTGTGCGCGCCCATGAGGAAAACTGCAAACAGCTAGAGCTGGAGAAGAAAAAAGCTCAGAAAGAAGCAGAACATGAAAAGATGAAGCTCGGTGCTCAGAAAAGAGAACAGGAGAACTTAGTGCACTCCCCAAGAACTAGATAATGGAAATTCTAACGTTAGGTCCTGATCCAGCTAACAACACAAAGTTTTTGCTCCTCCTGGTCAGAGAAAGCTAAATGTGCTCTCTATTTATCAGCACAGAGTGCAGAAAGGAGGTTTTAGCAGCAGAGTTTTTCTTTCTCTTTTTCTACAGGGTCAATAGTTGAGTTGTCATTGGAGCCAATTGGCAACAAGCCCATCTGCTGAAAGAGGTAATACATAATACCAAGCTGTATGTTAAATTTTAGGCTTTTACAATGAAATCGAAAGCTATTATTATATCAAGTATTTTTCATATTTTTTGCAGCTTGTTTGGGAACAGAGAGATGCAGCATCCCGAAAGTAACCATGGTAGAGGACTTGTCTTATACTCACTAACCAGGAACCCCGCAACATTGTAAATAACTACAGAGTAGAGAGTTTACTTGTCGTTTTGTGTTTCTCCATATTTTTTTTATATCTATCATAATTTGTAAATTGTTTCCTTTGGGGAATTCATAAGAGGGCTGTAGTGCCAGGGGTGACGTTTTTCTCTTCCATTGAATCAAAATATATTTCTTCACACTACAGTAAAATATTGAACAATTTTTCACTTCAGCCCCATTCCAATTTTTTATTATTGAAATCGATCTTTTTTTTATTTACCAAAACCGACCCGATTTCGTGATTAGCAGCTTAATCACCTTCCTAATAAGTCGGGGTTGCCAACCCAGACTATTTAGGACATTAATTTTTAGGGTTTAAGGCTTCTAGTTAGGGTTTAACACCCTCCTAAATAGTTGACAACCCCGACTAATTAGGAAGGTGATTAAGCTGCTAATCAAGAAATCGGGTCGGTTTTGGTAAATAAAAAAAAGATTGATTTTAATAATAAAAAAATTAAATGGGGCTGAAGTGAAAAATTGTTCTAAAATATTTCTAACATTTCAAATGTGTGGTTATTATTTATTCTTAGCTTCCTGCAGAAAGTTTGAGTGCAGGCTTTGATGATGATTCCTCTGATATGATGGAATCTTGAATCCAGCTGGGGGCAAGGTAAGCAGACTGCAGTTTGAAACCTTCTGAATCTACAAAACCTAACTCCTCCAATGAAATTAACTTTTTTTTCATTAAAGTGAAATTTTTATCAATTATTGCTCGACGATGGATAAAGAAGAAGGAAACGAATGATAGAACGGTACGATAAATTCATTTTTTTTTAAAAAAAGGTTAGAGTATAAATGCAATTTCTAATCCCAGCGTAGTACGATGACTTGCGTGTCACTAATGAGTTAGCAATCAACCTTTGTCCCTTTTACCATAAACGTGCTTTTCTTTATGTAGGTATCATGTCCGCTGCTGTCTTTTAGGCTTTAAACATATTTCCAAAAAAAAAAAAAAGAAAAAAGAAAAAGTCACTTCTATCTGTTATCTAATTGAATAAGGATGGGTGGTGGATCTAATTACTTTTCACATTATCATGACATCACAAAGTTGTTACGGTATATAACAAAAAAAGTAATTTTCAATCAAGCTTAAAAGAATATCCCCTCAAGTTACGAAGTTTATTTAGCTAATGGGGCAGGCTAGCTAGGGCAAGTTTGTTTCCTTTTTTTCCCAAGAGGAAACCCTGTCACAGTTCTGAAAAATGTCAGAACTATGACAGCTTTCAAGCCAAAACGTCTCTTAAAGAGATGTTTTGGCGGCTTTAAGAGGCGTTTTGGCTTGGAAGCTGACACAGTTGACATTTTTCAGAAATGTGGCAGAGTTTTCTTTTGGAAAAAAAAAAGGAAACAAACGGGAACTAATGGTCGACGTTATAAAGTCTTTCACATTTTGAAATTAGTCCCTCTGAATTTGAAATTTCAATTCAAAATATGAAAGATTCAAGGGACTAATAATCGAAGAAACCCTGAAGAACGCACGTGGTCGTTTTATGAGCTTAGCATTCTTCGTAAAGATTCGTCTTTGTCGGTGGCCAAATCACAATTGAATACATTGAGAGAAGATGGCTCTAAATTAAACAGTCGCATGCCCAAATTGTTAATTCCCTAAAACCCATCTCAAAAATTAACATATACTTCTCATTCCTCTCTCGATCGAGGAAGCCACCCAAAATTCCTGAAGCAGAAAAAGGAGAGAAACCCCATGAATCAAAATCCATAAAAACAAAGGGGGAGAAAAAAAAAAAGAAAAAAAAAAGAAAAGGGAGCGATAAAAGATGCAGCCAGGGGCAAAACGAAGAGCTAGAACAAATGGGGTCGCTCCTGGATCAATCTGGGATACGAGAATCAAGATGGATGAGATGGAGGGAGGCATCAAGGTCTTCAATGGCGAGTCCGAAGAAGACAACAACAACACCACCAATGCGGACGGCGAAGAAGAAGAAGGGGCCAAGGTCTTCACGAGGTTGAGAAGAGATCAGAGTGATGGAACTGGGAGTAAAGCTGGGAGGAGGAAGAGGAGAAATTGGAAAACCCCGGATAAGAACCCGGTTGAACTGATGAAGGAGGAGGAGGAAGAGGAGGTTGAGGGAGAAGTGAAGGACTTCGATGATAAAGAGATCGATTTGCCCAAACCCAAGGTTTTTGAAGTTGTAGAGAAGAAGCTTAATCAGGTTATTGAGCCAAAATCAAGTAAGTTTTGTTTATGGGTGCTCTTACTGGATTATGTTTTATCATCAATTTATGAGTTTTTGGCTTTTTTTTGCCCCCCAGTTGAAGTTCAAGAAGAGAAGAAGATACATCCAGTGATGGGTCGCAGTGAAGCTGAGCTTGATCCTATGAAGTCACAACAAAGTAAACTTGTTTTTTTTTTTGGGTGGTAATTCAATTGGGTTTTGTTCTATCATCAATTTATGAATTTTAGTTTTTTTTTTAAAAAAAATCCTTTTCAGTTGAGGTTGAAGATGAGACGGTTGATAATGGAGGATCAGAGGCTGCAAAAGCAATGCAGAGTATAGGTAATTTAATAAAATTTTATTAACATTCGAGGAAAATTTGGTGGAGTTAAAAAATTCACTGTTTGAAGTTTTCAGTTGATTTGGTAATGTGGAGGGATATATCGAAGTCAGCTTTTGTCTTTGGATTCGGTACCTTCATTCTCTTCTCTTCCTCATACACCAAAGATCTTGAAGTCAGGTAATTTCTTTTTCTCTCTCTCTAAGAAATATAAGTTATTAATTTCTTATCAACAACATTATCTCAAAGTTTCATTGTGCAGTCTTTTATCAGCAATTGCCTATCTGGGTCTTGTCTATTTGGCCTTAATTTTCCTCTACAAGTCCGTTTTCGGAAGGTAATAAAAATTTCACCTAAAAACCCCCATTAGATAATAAAAATTCCAGTCATGTTTTCCTGTTTTTAAAAAGTACCCTGTTTGAAAACAGGGGAGCTTTAAATGTGGAAGAGAGAGATGAGAGATATATAATTGGAGAAGAAGAAGCAATTTCAACTTTGAGATTTCTCCTTCCTTATGTTAATGAACTGCTTATAAAGATTAAAGCCTTCTTCTCTGGAGACCCTGCAACGACAATGAAGGTAAGAGAATTTCTTCAAGTCTATGCTCCCTTACTTTTTACCACAATTTGTAAAAAATACTAGAAATGGGTAAATTTTTTGGCAATGGCAGATGGCAGTGTTGCTGTTTTTAGTGGCCAAATGTGGGAGCTCCATCACTGTTTGGACACTGGCCAAACTTGGTAAGCTTTTGATTCTCTGCACTCTGTTGAAAACTTTATAGTGTTTCTTCAATTTGTTTTGCTGAGGGGAGAAAGAGATTTTTGGTTGATTTGTTTTTTGTTTGTTCTTATGATTCTGCAGCGTTCTTAGGCATTTTCACCATTCCAAAAATCTTGTCCTCTTATTCTCTCCAGCCGGCTAAATATGGTAAATGGAGTAAATTGTTAAACTTTATGGTAATTTCATATTAGACTAGTTTGTCCATTTTTGGTTTACTCTTGACCTTTTTTTTCACTTTTGTTAAGTGAAGTGTCAAATGAGGATTACTACATTTCTTTTCCACATGCATTAGGCAGCTTGAGTGTGATGGCACAACAGAAATTACTTAAAGCTTTTTGGCTAACATTATTAAGAAGATGTATTTTTAGAAAAAAAGCAAAACAAATGCCTTCATTTCATATATTATCCTTTGGAAAGTAATTACAGTGTGCAAACTATTCAATTCTATCTTAAAAATAAACAATTCCATGTATGATGTAAATCATTCAATTTTATCATTTAGTCGTCTAAGTTTTAGATTAAAGTGAAACTTACTTCCCCATTTCCCATTTCATAAAATTGGAATTGAATCTCACTTCCAAGAATTTTATTTTGTTGAAGGTAAAATTTGGGTGGAGAGATTCAGAGATGGATGGGGTTCATGCCCGCAGAAGAAAGCTGTTGCTGCACTGATCTTCATTCTTATATGGAGTGTCTTCTCTACTGTAGCAAGAATATGGGCTGGTAACTAAGCATCCTCCCCCATTATTAACTTGAACATTTATATCACATCATAAACATAATTATAGTGTGTTAATCATTTATGAATTCATACTAACTGATCAACTGGCTCTCTTTTCCTCTAGCAAGCAATCACTCTAGAGAATTTCGAGGTTAATAATACCAAAAGCTTGTTTCCAGCATCTCATACTGCTCCGATGGAAACAGTTTTTCATGAAGTAGTATGTAACAGAGTTTTTTTTTAATATTTGCAATATATTGCTATATGCACCATATCTTTGTGTTGACAAACCTCTACAATTTTACATTGACCAGCAGTAACAACTGTCCAATGACTCCAACTTAATGTAATTGTAACAACTAGCTAATTACTCCTAAGCAAGCTTGTGACCATTTTATACAGCCCTATATTTAATTCATACCACCAAACAACAAAAGGGCAAAAAAGACGCTCAGGGGCAGAGCCATTTAGGGGCCAAATGGCCCCCAGCCCCACCTTGGATTATGGGGGAATATGGTAGTATGCATCATTTGCTAATATGTATTTTAATATGTATTTTATAGGGGCTAAAATTGTATAATGTATTTCTCTTTTATAATACCTCTTTGACTCTTTTCTTCACTCTCTCTTGAAATTTTTTGAGTCCGATTTCGAGTCTCATATTTCCTAATCTAGTTTATTCTATGTCGAAGTACTACACTAATATCCCAAAACATAGTAAGTTTTAGTTAATATAGATGATTTTAATGGTCAACATTCACTAATTGTTGTTTCTCTTTGGGTAGAGATAATTTTACTAATTTAAACTTCTGTGGTGGATTAGACTTGTTCATGTATCTTTTGATATATTAGTAAAATAGTATTGCAGTTTTCGGGTTTGATAAAGATTTGCATAATATTATGGACAATTCATGAAATGTTGAGCTGTTGACATTTGTTTGGAGTTGTATTCATTTGTGAGTGTTTGGTGTATTTCATTTTGAGTTACGGAATGATTTCTAGAAATGAAGGCAAGAAAAGTGCTATTGTAAACAGTATTATTATAATTATAAATATGATTCTGAGAATCTTATTATATAATGATGTCAAGATACTAACCAGTTGTGTTAATAATGATATAGATCATGTTTGCTTATTGTTCGGGACCCACTTGCCGAAATTCCTGGCTTCGCCACTGAAAGCAAATCCTCATATTCATTGGAATTTTCCTTTTTGTACAGTGTTCATGCTGATTGTGGCTGTTAAACTCTACCAACAGTGTACAACAATAGAGCGGAACTTGAAGGATCATCAACAACAACAAGAGCTGGAGAAGACAGCGCTAGAGGAGCAAGAAAAGGAACAAGAACACTCATCAAACGCAGGGTTATTAAAGAGCGCAGGCAAGCGTCCCCACCACCAACAAAAGGGCGCTGGGCCCAAAAGAGAGATGATAAAGGTGAAGAAATTGACATAGAAACAAAACGAGAAAGAGAAAGGCGCGAAGGGGGGGGGGGGTTTAGTTGCCGTCCGATTCAGATAGATGATATAGATGTCCAGCTAGCCAGCGCAGCGCAGTGGGAGGAATTTATTTGTTTTTTTTTTCTCTACGTACCGTCTGCATGTGATACCTAACCTTTCTTTATTGTGTATAGACGTTAGACTACCGTTTTTAAATCGGTGGTGGGATGTGAAAAAAAAAAAGTTGTGGTAAAACTTCAATTGTTACTGCTTTGGGAGGTGATATGTTTGCATGAAGAATATCGAAACGAAAGGAGAAAAACAGTAAATAGATGGACGCCAGCATGTTTAAGTAAACGCTCAAAAGAGGAGGTAAAGGATTTTTCTTTTTTTTTAAATCGTCGATTTTAAGTCGTCTGGGCAAGATATCCGAAGAATTTGCTAACCGGAGGATGCAAATGTACACGAAGAGGAAGTCGGAGGAGGAGATCAGAGATGGGACTTGAAGACGAAGTGAATGTCTTCTGAACGAAGGGGTCGCGCATACTCCGATCAGATCATCTTCTCGTCTTCCTTCTAATAAAAATAGACCGATCATCTTTCACTTGAAGTGGAACTGCGAATTCGGATGCAATTATTGATGCATCGCTCGATGTTTTGCTCATGCACATCGATGACGATTAGTTTGCACTGCTAGCTTTGCAAGTAGTGGCATGAGCACGGTAGCAATAGAGCAAAGTCAAAATAAACCTGGCTGTAGAAATCTATAACTATAATTGAAAGATATAATCTGTAACAGACAACTGGAACTAAGATTGACTCGGTTTATTTCCTGTTTAGTTACAAAATTATAACTAGCCTCAGAATACTTCTTCTGATGCCACATCCTACACGATCATACGGATGAACTAGTGCAAGAAATAATAGAATCCAAAAATTGTAATACTTAATTACATTCAAGCCTAGCAAATGTTAAGTAGCCAGTGTGCCCCTTCGTCTCTCTGCACGGTCTAGCCATAATCGAGCTAGGTTTCTCCGTGCTTCCATAGTTTTCCTCGCTCTGCCTTCGTTTGCGAGGGAGAGAACCCACAGGCGAACCTTTACTGTCGTCGTCGACCCTTAGCCTCTCCTCTCGAATTTCATATGTTCGGAGGAGTATCTCAAAGGTCCTTATATCTGCGTTAATGAACAAGGTACATTGGATCAATGCTGTGCAGATTTAAAAGGTTCATGGGAAATTTGTCATTAGCTTACTCAACTTCCAATTGCTTTATGGTAAATTTCAGAAAGCCCCTTAACCGTTGGTGTTTTTTTGCATAAAACCCCTAAAGCTTGTAAATTAGATAACATCACCCGAACTTCTTTCACCGAAGTACCATGACCAACGGCATTTAGTTAGCACCAACGTTGCTCCTATATACTTAATATATCTGCTGTATAACTCTTTTCAGGTTGGGTAGTCTAGAGTGATAAGATTAATTTACACTGTGTACCCCTCACGATAACACCGTTTATAAAAATTTCCAATAGCGGTGCTTTTTTTTTTGGTGGGGTAGGGGCACATAAGTTTGAAGGTTCAGGCTACTTTATAAAGTTGGGAGGCTTTTTGCAAAAAACCCAAAGTTCCGGAGAGGGGGTTTGTGAAATTTATCCTTCATCTACTTGGAATTTAAAGATAGGTCTGAAGGTAAAATGCTAGTCCAAACCTAATAATGTCACCACCTATGTTAAGGAGTACGGGTGCAGACATGGACAAGGGTGCAGATGCAGGGCACAACAAATTTGTAGAAGGTAGGATACTAGACCACAACTATAAATATACACATGGAAGTTAAAAATATATATAAGATCAATATTGTTCTTTCATTAACATGTCATAAGAACTTAAACTCCTATAAATTTTTTACGTTTCTTTTATTTAGTAAATTATAAATTGAAAAACCGCTCATTTTTTAACTAAATATCCAAATGACCCTTATAAGCATACTTATGACGTGGGTATGTGCTGAAGTGAACTCGGCCCGAGTCCAACGAGTAGCGAAAAGTTGAGGTTTAAGTGTAAGATATATGCCCAAGAAGCATATCACGTGTGTTTTAAACTAAAATATGAATTATATAATTGAATACACAACTGAATAGATGTCTGTATATATTCAATAAGTGTCTAGGGAGTGTGGGACACGGATACGGGAAGTGTGGGACGCAGATACGGGAGTCCAGGTAAAGTGTCCGGGAAACTTAGGTCACCACTGTAAGGTGTATATATAAAAAGGGAGAGAAGTCACCTGTAAAATTTGATCGCAAAGTCTCACATGAGCGCTGCACTTGTTCAATACATGGAGAAAATGAGCACACAATGCCATCTTGCTTCAACATTCTTGCAACAGACGGCAATGCTAACCAAGGCTGAGGAAGGTCCAGGAATACCGAGTCAGCAGCACCACAGAATTCCTCGGGGAATCCCTCCCCTTGAATGTCTCGAACTGATACTGTTATCAAGCTGCTCATTCCATTCTTCTCAAAATCATCCCTGCGAAGATGAAAACCCATATTACATATCATCAACAAATTGATAATTCTTGATTCTTCTCAAAATCACCCCTGCAGAGATGAAAATGCATATTACATATCATCAACAAATTGATAATTCTTGATAATGGATACAGTCGGACGTTATCAAATTACTACTGAAACTAGGTACACAGTTTCTTTTGCGACTGATCAACACTAGGATAACCATTTTTCTGGATAAAAGAGTTCGAACAACTTATCAATTAATTTAGAATTATGTGATACTCCACTGTTGCTAAATCAACTAAGCAGCATTACATTGTTCATAGGATGTCCGATTACGTGCAGAAGCACAAGCATTCTTCTAAAGCATCACTAGGATAACATAATTGAGGATATTAATATTAAAATGGCTACCTATGTTCATTGGTCCTGCAAATTGGTGAAATAGTGCCGATAGCTATTTAGATTGAATATTACTAACAAAATAATATTGACCATAAGAATGATACTAAGACCAAATATTGCAATATCTGAAAGCTTACCTAGCCAAGGCTGCCCTTTGCTCATGAAAATCAAATGTGTGAACATGACCTGAAGGTGCAACAGCCCTAGCAAGAGAGGTTGTAAGGGACCCACTTCCCGTGCCCGATTCAAGAACCAAACAGCCAGGGACTATTTCCAGATAGGTAACCACAAAGCTGATATCCGCAATGTATAAAATCTGAGTCCTGTGGCTCAAGACCAAAGTCCACAACTCAGGTGTGGGGGCTAAAAGATAGACGAACCCACCCTTATTGCTTAGTACCTTGCATCCAAAAGACTTCCCTATCCAATCTGAATGCTTGAAAACCCCGAATCTATTTTGAAACTCTGAGCCATTAGTTACTTTAATAGCCTTCATGTTGTCATGCCTTTCGTACACAATAACCAAATCTCCATCACAGATGCAACGTTGAAAACAATTCCTTTTTGATTGATCAAAGGGCAACATCCTGTCAATAACATTAAAAAAGAAAACTCTTTTAATAATGCAAGCTTTTTTACCTTTGTCAAAACCTAACATGGTGCATTGATAATAAAGAATCAATTGCAACTTTATTTCTAATAACCTAGCAATGCTTGTTGTTAAGTGTCAAGTTTGGTTGATATACATTCCATGGTGGAATCCATGAGGGGATGTTTCAAAATGAACTAACATCAAACACCTTTCACGAAGAACTTACAAGGGCTAAAAAAATTCTAAAAAGTTAAAATGAAGAAAAATTAAGGTTTATCCACAACGCAACTCTCAATTAAATAACTCAAAAAATAAAAAATATCAAATAAATGACTATAAATTTGGTGATTTAACAAGAAAAAAGTAACAAATTGCAAGCTCTTAATTTGACCTGTTTAAAATTTTTAAATCTTGAGATATATTGGATTTTTGGGGACTTTTATGGTTTGTTCAAGTATTTGGATGTTGTGTTGGATTGCATAGCTATGCTGGATTTGTAGATGTGAATAGAATAATAAAACGTTGACTGGAAAATTTGACTGCATCCCATTGGAAATTTGATTTGGCATCCTATGTAGTGTACGTAAAACTTTAGATTGTGATAATTCAGATAGCATATTGATGGCCAAATATTCTGAAGATTTAGCAAGATCGACTCAAATGAAAATATGCAAAATACTCCTGCATTGAATCCGATTATGTATTATTTGTAGTAGGTCAATACGTAATCGAAAGCAAGTATGCCATCCAATATCAAATATAAGACAACAATATGAGTGATCACCTCTCCGAATGAAGTTTCATTTTTGTTTTCATCACTAATTTAAAACAAGGTTATTCAAATAACATATAGCTCGCAAATGAAAAAATAAATTATGTAGACAAAGATCAGTGTGTTAACGGCAAGTGCCTCTATTGTATACTAATTCATCCTTGTGGCTATCAATAAACTGGTACGTCAAACATACACGTACATGACATATGCCTAAATCATCTCGACCAGTTCTCCCTCCATCATCTTATTCTCAACTACAGCTTCCCTTAGATCCATACAGACGAACTCATTGTAAGTTACCCCATATTTAACCTAAATGCTACTCCATATACACATTCTCATATCTTTGACACTCACTCTGATTTAGCAGAAAAGAAGAACAAGAAACTTAGAATTTAAACATGCATATCATGTTAGGATGTAAGTGGCAAGGTTTCAAAAACATGGTTAATCAGATTATGCGGCGATTGATCAGATTACGCGAAATTGCACACACACACACATATATATATATATATATATATATATATATATATATATACATCTATATGTATACATATTTTTTTTTTGAAAGATAAGTAAAAATTCCATTAAAGCCAAATACAAGTACAGAGATACAAACATGGCTATGCAACACTGGAAAACTAAACTAGGAACTATAGAGAGGGGAGAGGACCCTGGCCGTCACCCTCAACTAGAGAGACCCAGTAAGCATCCAACGCTACCAAAAGCCACATAATACATAATAGGAAATGGATATGCTTGGTACCAAGCACAAATTTTATGCTTTATAGTGAGATGTCCTATTCTCATCCACTCATTTTAATTCCCAACCACTCCCCAACCCATGTGAATGTGAACCCCAATTTTAATGAGTGAAGGAGAACATGGCATCTCACTTCCAAGGACAAAAACTTGTGCTTGGTACCAAGCATACTCATCTCTCTCTTTATATATGTATACATGATCGGCCCAGGGGATAGGCGGGATAAGCCTTTGCCTAGGGCCCAAAAAAACAGGGCCCCCAATGTAATAATTCTAAGTTTTAGATAGATATATATGTGGAAAAGTAAGAGGACTTTTGTGCAAAATTGTTAGAGGGTTCTAATAGCATAAAGAATTCCTATAAATACACAAAACTCTACCCTATCTTCCGTCAGCCTCTTCCTCCCGTCCCTATCTCGCCGCTCTCACATAAAAAAAGAGAGAAAACCCTAGGTCTCTCTCTCTCTGACCTCTCTTCTTCCTCCCGTCCTTGTCTCGCCGCACAGCAAAAAAAAAATCAAGAATGGGGGGCCGATCATCTAGGGAAATTTATGTGAACACATTTTGATGTCAGAGGTAATTTAATAACAATTTTTACATAGAATTTCCAATTAACTGTGGAAAACAATGTCTATGTCAATTAACTGTTGTTGGATCACAATTTAATTGTTTATTGAATAGGAAGAAGAGATAAAAGTGCATCTTTTAGGATTCAAGCGTGTTGATCTGAAATTTGTTTGAAGTGCAGCTATTCAAATTTCAAGATAATTTTATAACTTTATAAATTATAATTTTTGTTGATCTTATGTATTTTAGTATTTGTATATAACTTTTTGTTGATCTGAAATTTGCATTGTTGATTGATCATATTTTTTCAGCGTTTATCATGCTTCCTAGAAAGTATAGTTTTGGATATGAAAAAATAAAAAAGAAACAAAAATTGGAAAAATTGAAAATTTTTCAAGCAGGAGCGTTGGATAAGTTTTTTAGTAGTAGACATACAGAGCATGATAACGAATAACATAATAATGAAGAAAATCAAAATGAAGAACAAAAAAATGATATGAATATTGAAGAACCTACTGAACACAATATGAATATTGAAGAACCTGCAGAAGATGATAGAAACATTGAAGAACCTACTTAACTTAGCATTGAGAATGTCAATGAAAACATGAATGTTGACGATCCAGCAAACTGGGGCAATATTGATCAAAAATTGATGTTGACGATCCAGCAAACTGGGGCAATATTGATCAAAAATTGAGAGATCTTTTAGTAGAAAGAGGACCCAAAAGAGTTGTTATTGATTTTATCAAAAATTGAGAGATCTTTTAGTAGAAAGAGGACCCAAAAGAGTTGTTATTGATTTTCCTAAAGATAATGAAGACAGACATTTCTTTTCCGCTCATTACACTCGACAATGGTTAAATGGAGAGAAACATGATAGGAGATGGCTAATATATTCAACTTTTTTGAATGTGGTATTTTGCTTTTGTTGCAAATTATTTAGAAAAGATGGAAACAAGAATCAAATAGGTTCTTTGGTTAATGAAGAATTTAAAAATTGAAAGAATCTTAGTCATAGACTTCAAAGTCATGAAGGGAGTAGTGAGCATATAAGTTGCATGAGAAGTTGGATTGAATTGGAAATGAGATTGCGTAGTATTAAAACAATTGATAAAAGTGTGCAAGAAATGTAGAAATATTAGGATTCATTGTAAATAGGAGTTAGTTAGGATTTATTTCTTTGTTATAATTAGTTTCTATTTTTAGAGGATCTGAATATTATTTTCAAATCCTATATAGTTGTACATATCTTCTATGATAGGTTAGTTGCTATTTTAGAGGGATTCCATCCCTGTAATCAAGGAACCATATTCAGCTCCTTAGGTGTATAAAGGGCCTTTGTGCGCAACTCCATTGGAATAAGAAATAACATATATTTCCATATGGTATCAGAGCTAAACTGAAACCCTAATCAGCCTCTTCCTCTCAATCCTAAAGTCCGACATGGCCGCCGAAACCCAATCCCAATCTGAAGTCACATCCAATCCAAAGCAATCTCTCAAATCACCATGGAAACTCTGATAGTTTTCTTCCCATTACAGTCCATAAATTAAATGGCCACAATTTCCTCCAATGGTTACAGTCTATTATGTTGTACATATGTGGGCGAGGCAAGGATGATCACCTCACGGGGCTGTTGCTGCTCCTAAACCGGATGAGCCCAGTTTTAAAACCTGGAAATCCGAAAATAGTATGGTGATGGCATGACTAATCAGTTCCATGACCATAGAAATCGGGGGAAATTTTCTTCTCTACTCAACTGCAAAAGAAATTTGGGATGCTGCCCGAGATACGTACTCTAGCAACGACAACACTGCAGAATTATTCGTCATTGAAAGCACTCTCCATGATTTACGTCAAGGAGAATTATCCGTCACTGCCTATTACAATTTACTGACTCGGTACCAGCAACAGTTAGATCTTTACGAAGTCCATGAGTGGAAGTGCCCTGAAGACCAGACTAAAATTCAGAGAATGGTAGAGATAAAAAGAATATTCAAGTTCCTTATGGGACTAAACAAGGATCTGGATGAAGTCCGAGGACGAACTCTAGGAACCAAACCACTGTCATCAATCAGGGAAGTCTTTTCAGAGGTCCGAAGAGAAGAAAGCCGAAAGAAAGTCATGATGGGAACATCCCCTTCAAACCCACAGGTTGACAGATCCGCTCTTGCTGCACGAGGACCCGCATATCACAACTCAAATTCACAGCCAGGAGGGAATCACTCATCATCAAATGAAAACAGGCCCAGAAGTGGAAGGCCCTGGTGTGACCACTGCAGCAAATTGGGACATGTCCGGGATACCTGTTGGAAGCTGCACGGGAAGCCTGTCGATTGGAAACCAAAACGCATGGCTAATGACTATGAAAGCTGTGGACACTTGGTTTTCACAACTGATCCTCCTCAGACCGAGACACGTCCATTCAGCAAAGAACAGATGGAGATGCTGCAAAAGATGTTTAACTCAATGCAACAATCCTCCTCTCTGATTTCTTCAACCTCAAGTACAGGAAATATTGCTCAAACAGGTATTCAACCAACAGCCTTTACTGTTTTAAATGAATCTTCACAATCCTGGATAGTGGATTCCGACGCCTTAGATCACATGACATGAAACTCACAGTTGTTTGATGATCTAAAACCGTACTACTCAAACTTATTTGTTCGTATTGCCGATGAAAGCAGCTCCAAAGTAATAGGCCTCAGCTCCATCATAGTGTCACCGAATATCACTCTCAAATCAGTCCTCTTTATTCCTAATCTCACTTGCAATTTATTATCTGTTAGTAAACTCACTCAGGATAGTGTCACCGAATATCACTCCAAACATTTCTGGGGAGATGCAATTCTCACTGCTACCTATCTCATTAACCGGATGTCATC